CTGCCCTTTTACTCCTAGATGCCTGTTTGCATTTCCTGTGCTCATGGCAGGGATGGGCCTGGCTGTGTTGGGGCACAGCAGTTATGTGGAGGGCAACAGGGTGTCTTGTGGCACATGCATTTCCAATTGCTAGCTGCACGCTGGCAGCTAGATGGCTCTTGGAGATCCCCTTTCTTAAGCCTGCAGTTCCAGCCGCCTTGTTTCTCTTTGGATTGTGGAGTGCGTTCATCTTTACAGAGTCATTCAATAATTTGAATTATTGTTGTGGTTTCAGTTTGAATTTGGTGACTTGACATGGTGTGGATGTTTTATGAAGTGTTTTCCATGCCTGGTGGTATGGTTGGTGCCACACCCACCATTTGACTGCTGTAGAGAAATAAACCTTTGGTGGACTCGCTGGAGTTTAAAGCACTGATAAGCCTTTAAGGTGCTGCATGAATAGTGTCAGTCATGAAGGAATAAAAAGCATGTGCCAGGCCATGGATACGTGATCCATCCAGTTCTGAATTAACGCTGGAAACGAACATGAGCTGCCCCCCTTCGTTTTATTGCAACCAGCATGTTCAGCCCGAGACTGAAAGCACTGCTTCGTAATCAGAGTGAACCACATGCCCACCCCGTGCTTGCCAGTCCTCTATCTCCCCTTAATACTGTGATGCTCTTTGTGAGGTATACAGGGAACATGCAGAAAGCTGTATATAAGTAGGTGCATTAGAAGAAACTGGTTCTAACCTCCAGCTGGAGGGCTGTAATTAAAATGAGCATGGCTGGACTTCTGCTCTGCAACTTATAAACTGTGTAGCCTTGGGCTGCTCACTTCACTGATCTGTTTCCTCATTTGTGAAATGAACTTAATAGTTACAGAGCATTTTTGAGTACTGGTTTTCTTGTAGTGTATTGAATTCAGGAAGGTCTACATAAATGATGCCCGTTAGTGGTATAAAGAGAACTTTCATGACCACACTGGACGTTTGAGTTGCTTTTGGTCGTAAGAAACCCCCAAACTCTAGCTTAGAGGCTGAAGTAATTAACTGCATTTCTTTAGCAACTTCCATTTTAAAACGCCTCATGCTGTATCATTTGAATCTATTTTAAGATCCCTCAACCCTGTGAGGTAGGTGAGTATTAACCTGTTTTCCCAAGAGGGACACTGAGGCAAAGAGAAGCAATGTGACTTACTTAGGCTCAAAGAGGATCTATGGCAGAGGTGGGAATCTGGGAGCCCTGTATCTAGTTCTCTGGTTGATATCCAGGTCTGGTTTTCTTCCTGCTGCATGTGGGTGCAGATGTAGTTTTGGATGTTGGTCTCTGTGCAATAACTGTCCTGTGATCATCACAAAAATGTTGGAAGTCTTAAAAAGAAATTGGAATGCAATATTCTGGCTTTGGTGAACAGCTCAGATTGCAGTTTATTCTATTGTTTGAAGTGCTAATGTCATCTTAAATATGAAAGAACCTCAGTTCCTTGTTTAAAGGTCTGTCAAGTGTCAATTTCAGGCCCTTTTCAGCTGTTACTGAGAGCTTAGTATACTGGCAGCCTGTTTTTTTCCCCATTTGAATTCAGTTGGTGCCTTTCCTTGCATGGTAAGATGATCCGTTTCTCTTTGTATGTCACACGTGTTCCCAGCACCTCACCAAGCAGCCTCCTTTCGTCATGGAAGTGCGTTAGTGGAGAGAAGCGACTTTACTTTTGTTTATTGCCCTTCACTTATACCCAGTGGCCCTAGCCAAAATGAGGGCTTCATTGTACTGGGTGCTGCACAGACAAGTAAGAGGTGTTCCCAGGCAAAGATGTATAAGGTGGACAAAAGGTTGGGAAAGAGGGAGTGTTATACTGTAATTTACAGAAAGGAAAATGAGGCAGAGAGAGAATCAGTGACTTGTCCGAGGGCATGCAGTGTAGCAGAGCAAGGAACTGAGCCCAGGTTTCCCAAATCTTGGTCAAGTTGAACTCCAAGACCACCCTATAGGTCTTCTCTGTTAGCAAGAGTCAGCCTTAGCGCTGACCTTGGTAGGAAGCTAATCAAAAATCCTGACTTAGTCATGCTTTTAGCTTAATAAGGTGGTCCGAGCTTTGCCAATCAGAGAGCTGTGATTACAGCACCAAGGGTCATACTTCACACACACACACACAAACAAGTGAAGGGTCACATTCACGCTTGTGTACAGCATAGAGATGAGTATAGGTTCTGGGTTGTACCATAACTTCCTGTCAACTAAGCTCTAGATGGAATATAATATAGTGGAACTATAGATATTTTTAGGTTGTTGCCATGTTAAAATAAGGCTCTACTTGGTCAGAGCTGTCCTAGGGAAGGGGAGGGAACAGAAGAGTATTTGCCTATGTCTCTTAAAGGTAGTTTGAGAGTGTGCTCCCCTAATATCATCCTAGCCAGAAATACATCCATGATAGAACCAGTGACTGGCAAAAACTGTTAGCTGAGCTTTACCCTGCAGGGTCTCGTGCTGAATGCTGGCCGAGTGCGAAGTCAGTGGGTTTTTTTCCTTTTTTCTGAAGCTAACAGAGCCACCATTGCTCTCACAGGTGTTTTAACCTTTGTTGTCAGGAATGAGCAGTGACAGATGGAAGCCTCCTAGCCCTTCTTTTTCACTTGTATTTCTCTTCCTGGAAAAGCCTTGTTGTTTCATTGCGGTTAGAATTGCAGTGCCTCAGCCTTGAATGTGAGACCCTGCAGGAAGGGATTAGAGGGGATGGCAGTAGGTGCTGTGTTGAGTCCTTTTTTTGCTGGCTGTCTGGGTATGCTGATTACAGTTCGATCTCATCACTGTAAAGCTGAGCAAGATGTTCTGGTTTGTTTTAGTGTCCAAGGATAGGTAAAGCTGTAGAGAGATCAGGGGCATCTTTACTCCCACCTTCATCCTCTCTGCCTGCTTTCATGAGAATGATATGTTCACAAGCCTTCTGTTTTTGATGCCAGCCTGTTCTGTTCTCATACTTGCAGGCTGCATAGTTTACATCAGCTCATGAGCTACCAGATTCTCCATCTTGCAATTGCAGAATAATGATTCTTTCGGAGGATCCTCAAGATTTTAACACACTAACTGACCAAAATTAGTGAGGTGGATAGGTGCCTTTGTTTGTCAAATGAGAGAAGAGGCATGAACATGGGGAGGTGTGCAGGTAATGCTGCAAACCAGTGGTAGAAGCAGAAAAGACCCCTGGAGCCTGGACCCTCTTCACTGAGGTGCTAGCACTAGTTTCATAGTAGTTTGGGGTCAGAAGGGACCGGAACAGATC